GGGGACGGCGAATTTCTCCCGGAGGGAAGCACCTCGCTCACAAAAGCACGTGAATCAGCCGCATTCCTGGTCATCGTCTAATGCTTAAGAGATATGTGTGTACGCAGCTATCTCGCAAGCCCTAAGAGAAAAAGCTCGCTGCAAAAACTCGGCGTTTCAAAAAACCCGCAATCCTACTCAAATGGATAATTAAACAAGATATCTTGCGCTCGCTCCGCGTCGCTTTGGCCATAAAAAGATTTAGGAGAAAATTTGGGATCGAATGGTGTTTTTCCGGTGACGATCGGACGTCTAGAAGCTTCGATATTGGCGAAAAACTTGCTGAACTTGCAAAAGTACTTGATACTTGCTTGGTACTTGCCAAAGTACTCGGTACTTGCCAAAGTACTTGGTACTTGCTTGTTATTTGCATAAGTACTCGGTATTTGCCAAAGTACTTGGTACTTGCTTGGTATTTGCATAAGTACTTGGTACTTGCTTGGTACTTGTAAAAGTACTTGGTACTTGCTTGGTACTTGCAAAGATACATTGTACTTGCTTAGAACTTGCAAAGTTACTTGGTACTTGCCTGGTACTTCGGGATAGTTTTCTACCTCGGGATAGTTCCGTGTTCGTCAGGTAGGAAAACTTGCCACTCTATTCCAGGCTGCTGCCCCCTCCCTCCCCCCCCCCCCCCCCCAGGTCCACCGCCTAAGTTTGTGATCGATCGGTGCTTGTCCGGTGTCGATCTGACATCTAGAATCTGAGATATAAGCATCAACGAAATGCTGTCAGTCGCCAGTGACGTCCTATGAACTGTTGGCCACCAGTGACGTCACGGCGACTTTCTGCCGCTCCGCCGTTTCTGTTGCCTGGCCGCTGGGGGCCAGCCGCTAGGTGGCATGAGATGCTGCCGCCAGCTGGCAGCACCTATCAAGCGTGCGTGCCGGCCGACTGTGCAGGTGGCAGCACCTGCCCCGATACCTGCCGGTGGAGAAGCGGCTGGCAATCGGCCGCCCCACTCCCCACCCCGCCCCCACCCAGCTGGCCGCCAGACCGTGGGAACGACTCGGCTCAGCGCTGCCGGCCGATGGACGGGGAAACCCCGCCCCGCCGCCCGCCGCCCGCCACACTGCCGCCGGGCCGGCCGGTGGAATTTTCCAGCCGTCGGCCGTTCGCCGGCTGCCGAGATCTGCGGAACGGCGGTACCCACGCTCATCTTCGCACGCGCATTCAGCGGCGGCTTGTCGATTTTTCGAGTGTCGGCTGCCGATCTCCCGTGAGCCGGCCACCTGTCAGCCGCCGCTCGGCTCTGTGTTAAGCATATGGGGACGGCGAATTTCTCCCGGAGGGAAGCACCTCGCTCACAAAAGCACGTGAATCAGCCGCATTCCTGTGTGGCGCGCAATGCTGAAGAGATATGTGTTTCCGCGGGTATCTCGCAGGCCCTAAGAGAAAAAGCTCGCTGCAAAAACTCAGCGCTTCAAAAAACCCGCAATCCTACTCAAATGGATAATTAAACAAGATATCTTGGCTCGCTACGCGTCGCGTTGGCCATAAAATGATTAAGGAGAAAATTTGGGACCGATTGGTGTTTGTCCCGTGTTGATCGGACGTCTAGAAGCTTAGATATTCGCGAAAAACTTGTTGAACTTGCCAAAATACCTGCCAGCTTGCTGTATCACCTGCTACTTGGTAATGTACTGAAAATTTGCTAATGTACTGAAAACCTGCCAAAGGTATTAACTTGCCTAAATACCGCAAAGAACTTGTTCTAAAATACTTGGTATTTACTTGCCTAAATACCGCAAAGAACTTATTCCTTTCCGACGTTTAAATCAGACGTCTTAAGACGACCAAACACTTTCCAATTTTCCCTTGGTCTCAGTTCGTTTTGATTTGTTTTCAATGATTTGTTTGCAATTTGAGTTATGCTTAATTCCAATTCATATTTTGTATCATCTACCTATCATTTCTCACTTGTTTTATGCGTCCTACCTATTAAGCGATTACCCTTACGTTGAAAGAGCCGGTGGGTGATTATAATGCAATACCGTGCACGGTGAACAGCTTGCGAGTTTTGCAGCGGTGCGATTGCTGGGGCTTATCGCTGACTGAAAAGGGTAAATACAGTAAATACAGATGGCTGTGTTGGATCCCTTTGCTTTTGCCCAACATTCAGCGTTGGAATTGTGGCTTTACCGTCCCTCTTATTAAAGTTATCTAACTTTTTGTAGCTTCGTCAGGTTAGACACGACGCGCGGGGCGATATGCATCTGGCGGCCGCACGCGGAACTACCGCGCACGGCGGCTCTGGCCGGACGACTGCACAGGTGGCAGCACCTGCCCACATTGCACACCGCCGCCGGGCCGGCCGGTGGAATTTTCCAGCCGTCGGCCGGCCGGTGGCCGGCGAATTTCTCCCGGAGGGAAGCACCTTGCTCACAAAAGCACGTGAATCAGCCGCATTCCTGTGTGGCGCGCAATGCTGAAGAGATATGTGTGTACGCAGCTATCTCGCAAGCCCTAACAGGAAAAGCTCGCTGCAAAAACTGAGCAATTCAAAAAACCCGCAGTCCTACTCAAATAGTATATTTAATTAAATTAAATTACGCCATCCCCCTGGCGCAATTTACATCAGTTGTTGGTAAATGCGCCCTTTTGCATGTTTTTGAAAAAGCAACTGTCAGAAGGAAACGAAACATTCTTAATTGATCGGGAGGCTCTTAAATCGTAGCCAATGAGTTCCTCTTTGAAATGGTGAACAGTGCATGCTTACATCTCTAGTGGTTTTCTTACAATTAGCGTTTTTCCTTAAGGTGGCGCAATTCACCCTCCTTCCCCTACTGGAAGGTCGGGCACGCGGATTTATGACCTTACCACTATAAATCCTCTTTGAAATGGTGAACAGTGCATGCTTACATCTCTAGTGGTTTTCTTACAATTAGCGTTTTTCCTTAAGGTGGCGCAATTCACCCTCCTTCCCCTACTGGAAGGTCGGGCACGCGGATTTATGACCTTACCACTATAAAACAATTCGGAAAAGTACAGATACCTACCTCTTGCTTTGAACAAGCATGTGAAACCCAGAGAGCATTTTCAGACTATGACATTTACCCATATAGTTGTGTGGCGGCGGGAGAGAGTAGGTACACCGACCTCTGGAGACCAAAGGTTCCTGGCTTTCAAAATTGGCATCTGAGGGCCGCGCGCGACTCCTGCGGGCTTCGTAACGGCTCTATTGGGGCTCACTCAACCTGCCTAATCCTCATGCTGAAAAGACTGGCCTTGAGCCCTGAGGATTTCATCAGTCTCTGCCAGCCCCAAGACCCACAACGGCTCATGGGGTCTCGATGTCGAAATATGAGGGAATCTACGCGGGACCATCAGGACGTAAAGTGATCTCGATCAGGACCAACGTAAGGCTGTAGAGGAGTCTGCGTAAGCCCTCTGATCTTCAGAAGCCCACCCATGTATGTTTTCACTTAGAGGCCAGATTAGGGCCCTCAGAGACCAGTACAGGGCCTGCAAACTGCAAAGGCCAGTAGTTTGAGACCATCAGAGACCGAGTTGGGCTCTCAGAGGCTAATATGGGTCCTTACTCATTACAGGCCAACATGGGGCCCTCAGATGTCAGCGTGGGGCTCTAAAAGACCGGCATGAGCCGTCGTTGGACCCCAGAGGCCAGCAGAGGGCCCTCAAAGGCCAAGATGGGCCCTCCTCAGAGGCCAATGCAGGCCCTTAGAGGCCGGCATCGGGTCTTTAGCAGCTAGTGCGGGGCCCTCATTGGCACCTAAAGGTTCGTCTTAGGACACCAGAGACAGAAATAAGGCCACCAGAGACCGGTGTGAGACGCTCAGACGCCGGTTGGGGCCCTGAGGCCGGTTAGGGGCCCTCATAGGCCAGATGTGGGGCTTAAGAGGTCGATGTGGGCTCTTAGCGGCCAACGTGGGCGCTTGACCGCCACTAAAGTTCCCTCAGAGGTCAGTGTAGGACGCTCAAAGACCGGTGTGGGAGCTATATTAATAGCTTGGAGTGGGTTTTTTGAGCCTCGTGACGATCGAATAAGGGCCAGGGCCCCATACACCTATGGAGGCCAATCGGTTGTTTGAGGGGGGGGGGGCAAATGATATCATGGCCCCCTTTATTGGCCTTTGGGGGGCATGGCCCTGATGCCCCTCCCCCCCCCACGCGACCGCCACTGTGTACACATTACACACAGGCCTCTGAGATTGCATACTAGCTCATGCAAACTCTATGCAGGCCCCGGAGGTCCCACGCTAATCCTTAAGAAACCAAGCCGGCATACGACGTCACCACCGGGCTTCTGAGGTGCACCGCACCAACCCATGAGGTCTTACTTTAGTGTCGTAGAGCCACGCTCATTTGGCAGGGCCCACCCGCCACTGCCGAAGAGGGTCTCATGCCAGCCATTGCTGGGCCTACGAGAGCCTCAAGTAAACCCACGCTGATATTCCATATAAGATCCGGCCTTACTCGTGAGCCGGTGCCAGCGACGCTGACCGCCAAATTGACAGAATGCGAAGCTGAGCCCACTCATGAGTAAAATTTACGTCCTTTGATGGCGCAAGAAAGAAAATGAAACATACAAAAAGCTTTCTAGGACTTTTGTTCGATCTGAAAGGTGGGGCCAAAAGATAGTATGGCCCCACCTTTCAGCACCAAAGGGGGGGGGCCATGGCCCCCGTGGCCCCCCCCCCCGGGACCGCCTGTGAATGTTTTACAAAATATATGATTAAAATTAAATAATCTTAGTCTACATAATTTAACAATAAATTATGTTTCATACTGAACTATAGACCTAGATTGTGAAATGCTCATTATCATTTTCCATAAACGGCAAAATGATAATGTTTCGCAATTCGCAGTGTTTTGTTGACAATCGTCTCCTTTTTAAATGCGCGATTAAATACGGGGTAGTGAAGGCGTTCCATATAGGTACTTATAAATATTATTGGTTGGTATCCCTCAAGCTAACCGCCATTCTCCATTTGTTTCAGAATTGGAGAAGATCCAGCCGGCGATAGTCCGTCTCTCTGCCCGGCACCGACCGTCCCGTCGAGTCGCACTCCGCCTCGCCCAGCTGTGTTACCCGCAACCCCGTGGCACTTCGACCCAGGCGCATTGTGAGCCCGAGCGCAGAAGTGCATTTATTCGTGCAGCCATTACAGTGTATTGTGAGAGCGAATTTTGTGGCCAGTGACATCAGCCATTTAGGATTCCTCTCGATGTTGTGATTGCAGTTCTCAGACAGGTGTTTTGTGAGTGAGATGCTCAGCATCGCTGATGTTGAGATAACGGTGCTGTGCTTCATATCGCGAGTCTTTTAGCATGTGATATAATTGCTCAGTTCAATGTCCATGGCTGTGCGATGAAGCTTTGCTACCTTTTCAAAGGATATGGCCTTGCCTTGGATCGGTTTACGTCCCACCGCAAGTGCTGGCAATGCGGGTCCCGGTGATGATATATGTGCAACGTGCGTAGGTACAACATGATGCGCTGTGTAATCAAATGATAGCATTGGATGGCTGTATGGTATATTGTGGTTGCACGTTTTGTGGTGAAAATAAAAACGCAAACACATGTGTTCTTTGATTTGCCTGAAGGCAAAACAAACGAGGAGTGTGGATTTGGAAAAGGGCTTTATTGGTTATTGATAAATCCAGCATAGCCTATCTGTTGTTGAACGCATATATACAAAAAAGTTTTACGTTTGTCAGAATAATACCAGGTTGAATTATAAATCAGCGAGGAACATGGATCGCGGTGCAATGACATTTATTGCGGCAGAGCTACGGAGAGAAGCTGATCCCGAACGATTAACGAACAATGTTACCCAAACAAATGCCGCCAATTACGTTTCGGAAGTAAAACCTGCATCTGCAGGTTATCTGGCACAGCTCCTTTGCAGATTCTGACAAAAAATTGGATAAAATGTTTCAAAGCAAAAAGGCATGTGTCGCTCGAAACCCTCCGGAGGCCGAACTTTTAAAGTTAATGAGTGTCACCAGCCGGCCACAAGGAGAGGGATTAGTGACCGGGCGCCTGATACCCGTGTGGGAAGGGTCAGAAATTCAATCTACTTCACCGGTCGAAACAGCGGGATAGCGGACAAGGGGTGGAGGGGGCTCCCTGAGTCTCATTAGTCCTGCGCAGCGGTTAAACGGTCATCGGAGCTCAAAACTTTGGAATTTTAACGATCGGGAAGCCTCAGGTAGCCTAAATGCCGATTATATCGACGCTGGTGAGTCGTGTGCAGGATATGCTGCAAGGTTTAGGCTCACAATTTCCCATACATGGAACATTGCACGTTTAAATCGAGAAAGCCAGGCATTAAAATGACACGTGCATTATACTGCACTTTTGAAACATACAAGAAGTCAATGCTGATTGGTTTCCGAGACATGCAGGAAAATATGTTTTCCTGCACCTTTCGACGTTTTCCTGCACCCCTCGACGTTTTCCTGCACCTCTCAAATATATGACGTCATTATGAATGACGTCACATCATAAAGTTGAAGAGCATCACTTTGCTTCTTATAACTTCATTTTATCTATCGTCTATTTCATTTGATTGGCTTATGATATACCTACCTACATTGTGTTTGATGCAAGGATTTTATCATTTGTCATGAATAAAGTGAAACATCACCATATAAAACTTGAACTTTGACGCTATTTCTTTGTTGCCTCAATTTCTTCAAGGACCTTTTCCATCACACCTTTAAGAACGTCTTCTTTATCTGACTCTATAGCCATGAAAGACTCAACAAGGTTGAAATTGGGGCGTTTTGGTTCCTCCATAACATTTGCAACGCTCCCTAAAATGGTACGCATGTATGGGAAATAGCTTCCTGCCCTGAGCTGGGAAAATTTAATGGTGTCACCTCGTATTGTTAGGTTAATGGAAAGTACCTCGGGCCTACCGGCCCTCGGTACTTTCGATTAAAAACCTCGGTGACACCATTAAATTTTCCCAGCCCCGGGCAGGAATGTATTATCTTTCACCACCCTCGTACAGTCCCTGGCTCTGTCCTTTCTCAGATTCAGACAGTAGTATGCCACGTATATTCTCATACAGCATGGTTTTCAACACTTCCAATCGGACTCTTTGTATGTGGGATACACAGAAGCAAACTTGTCTTGGATGAAGCTGTTAAAATCTATCGGCTGGTAGCGAGGGTCGCCGTCGAGTGGCGCCACTGTCGTGCCCTGGTCCGGCTGCACGAAAAAGGCCATGGACTGGCGTGCGGTGCCCCTGGCCTGCTCGCTGGTGGGCAGCAGCACGCGGTGATTGGTGGCCCGCAGCCGGCCTGACGTCATCAGCTCAATGACGTCACCGATGTTGATCAGGATCGTGTCCGGAATGGGCTCTGCACTGATCCACTGGCCATCTGACATCTCAACCTGGGGAATGAACCGTTCACGTTACGTTGTGATATTGTAAAAAGGGCAAATGAGCTATAAGTGACCACGCATTTGTTTCTGGTAAGAAGGTGGACTTACACTGACCGGCCCTTGACTTTGCAGCAGATCGGCATGCTCATTGCTCCTCGCAAAGAGCACCTCTCACCTCCAGTCCTCCGACTCCATGCTGGAACAGCAGCGTCAGCGTGCTGAAGTCGGTGTGCGCGCCGCAGCGGGTCTGGCAGCGACCGGCGGCCGCGCCGCCCGCCGCCGGGTAGTGCAGCAGCCGCAGCACGGTCCAGCCGCCCGGCTGCAGCTGCCGCCGGTGGCAGCTGGTCAGCAGCTGGCCGCTGCCCAGCGCGGCGTCCAGCGCGGCCAGCAGCCGCTCGGAGAGCTGACGACAGGCGGTGCCGATCCGCCGCAGCTGCGGGCCCAGCTGGGGCGCCACACCGTCCGGGCAGGCCTGCAAGGACAGAACGGGGAACTAGTTGTAACCACACTCATGTTATGCAGGCCCTGGGAGTGACCAGCTTCTCCGGCTTCTCTACGGAGACTACGTAGTGATTCAGACTCAGAGGTTTTCCATGCGTACTCTGCAGCGACGAATGAAAAACGGCTGATATAGAAAACTATGAAGCATGAACGTTTCAGAGGCAACAGACGCATGTAAAGTGTTCTTAAAACTTAAATGAGTTGTCCCACGACTCACGTCCTCCAGGCAGCGCAGGTCGAAGCACTCCTTGAGGTCGGTGACGCCGGCGGCAGGGTCAGTGGCGTTGGTCGAGTTGTCACCGGCGATTGGCGTGTAGCCTGTGTACCCCGTCCTGACGAAACGCTCGTAGGCCAGCTTCTGCTCCGTATCGAGGTCAAAGAAGCCCTTGGCGAAGGCGAAGGTGTCGTCCTGCAGCTGCTGGCTGATGCCATGGTTGGAGAGGTAGGCGAAGCCGGTGCTGGAGAAGGAGTCGACGATGTCGCGACCCACGTTCAGGAGGTCATCCCGAGAAGGCTCCGGAACACCCAGGCCCGAGGCGGGAGTACACAGAGAGTTATTTCTTTAGTGGTACTTAATCGACTCCACCGATAGAAAACAATTCTAAGATATCCTTGTGAAATCTTTAAAAATAATCATCTCAAAATAAATGCGTTTGGAAAGCTTCATTTTCTTACAAAGGTCAAGTGTCTGTGCTTACCTACATATGTTCATCCCGTGCTACAAGTGGCACAGATTGGCGATGGGCATTTGACCATATAAGGCATCCTGCAGTGGTAGGTATACCTAATACTCAAGGCATTTAAGTTGGGACAGGTCTCTATACATTATGCTGGTAGTACATTGTTAACACTCACCGATCTTCCCAATGTCGACGAGGCGAATAGTAGTCATATGTGAGCTCTGCGCCAGGCACTACATACACTCGCGGCGCATTCACTACAAATGAGCATCAGCTCGGCGAGCGTAGACCGTACCAGACTGACATACCACCCGACGCGGTGCTAACTGCTAATGTTTATAAATACGGGTGGGAGTTCAACGTGCCAGTATGTTCAGACCGACTGAGAGCGCCATCGCACAGGCTCGCAGCGACCGAGTCCGTCCCGTTGGGACAAGGAGATACCTATATATGTACATACATACGTATTTACGTCCGGAATGGGGCACGGCATGCTCAGCCGTTCAATCTGTAATCTTATATAGGCCTGTAGGGATATACCTACTCTTACTGCAGAACTGCCATCACCGGCTGCCCAGTGCCCGGGTGGCGAGTGGGTTGACCGTCGACTTAAGTTCAGTATCACTTTGTTGAGCTATGGTAGGCCTTTTCGGTCCGTGATGACCATGAAGGAACAGAGGAAGGCCGAAGGAGACGTTGGGCTCATGCCTCGAACTCCGGTCACCGATTGGTGCACCGCAATGCTGAAACCGTCCCACTGGGGCTGAATGGTCCAACTTCGGATGGATTATACGATGTTGTATGACTATATAGCTACTTTACCCCCATTAGCCCTTAGACAGCTCGCCCTGCGCCCTGCCACCGCACCGTTTCAGTGCGAAGAAACGGTCACCCTCACCCCCAAAGACGTTTTTGTTTGCCCCCGAAGACGGGAATACCTAACCCAGGGCACCTAACCGTTCTAATCACCACCAACGGCTGTCGCCTGTCGGGTGGCGTGGTCGGGTCAGTCGGGTGGCCTGGGCAAGATGCTCGATCGAGGATGTGGATGGGCTGGTCCTGAGGCCGAGGATAACGAATACGAATATGAATATCACTATTTTGATTTGCTGCACAATAACACATTACACAAGCCAACCTCATGTCCTCTCAGTTCTATATACTCTGCTCTCATCCTCATGCATTGGTCGCTACAGAGCGCCCTTGCCCGGGCTCTCCAAAAGACTCAGTTCGGGTCCCCGTGCCTAGATGGCGCGCGCGACTCGTTGTCACAGCTGATTCATGGCCGCTTGCGTTCAGCTGACTGCGGGCAATAGTTGGCCGCCGGGTCGCCGAGGGCGGATGTGTTGCAGTTGGAAACTGAGAGTGGGAGTTGTGGTGCGGTGGAGAAACTGTTCGACACGGTCCTGTTCTGTCTAGGGATCTAAACAGTGACTTTACCAAAGTCTGCTGTAAGCCTCGCCGCCGTTTTCCTGGCCGCCTTCGCAGTTCGCTGGCCAGCTGCGGTCCCAGTCCAAGTTGAAGTCCAGACGCGTGTGCAAGTGCAAGTGCAGGGCATCGGACAAATTTGACAGGTGGCAAACCAGGTAAGGATTGCGTTTAATTGACATCAACTAGATTTGTTCATGATTGATCAATTTTTATTGCATTGAATATTGATTGATGTTTTCCTCTGATCCACAACACAGGTTCAAGACTTCCAAGACAGTCACAGACAGACAGAGTCAGAGTGAAGACAGTTCAACTAGCCCCGGTCCCACTAGGCGATGCGACCACTTACGACCGCCCACGATCGGTGGTCGGCAAAAGGTTGTCGCAATTCTTTAAGAGCTCGTACGATTGGATGTTGATATGAGCGACTTGTCTTCAGACGTCGCGAGGTCATTTTGGTCGCCAAGAGGTTTTTGATGATGCACTAAAAACCTCCTGGCGACCGATTTGGTCGCAAAGAGTTCGCGAGAAACCGCAACAAGTCTTTCATTGTTCGCTAGTAGGAGGGCGAGTATCGCACGACAGGCTTCGGTGGTCCCGGGCAGTCGGGAGCGGTCGGCGGTCGTATACAAGTCGCCGATAATCGCACGGCGTTCTTCCCAACATCAGCAACCAGTCGCGAGACCACCGAGGTTCGATCGTCGAACAATCGCACGATGGTGGCCGATTGCACGGCACTAGTCGGCAATTAGTCGGCGACTGTGGTACGGACATCTCATATCTCATACCGACCCTTGTCACACGGCTGCGAACATAGTGCTCTCACTTTGAGATCAGCCGTAGACGATGAAGGGGATACGTAAAAAATCGTCCATTTCCAGTAGATTTTCAAATAAAAACAGCGCAAGAAGAAATAAGTGATGCACCGCCTACTACATCCCGGCAGTTGCTGGGGTATTTCGCCACCCGCCGTTTGCTGGGGGGGGGGGGGGGGGCGTTAAAGCCCCCAGACGATAACTCGAGAACCAATAGGCGCAGCGAAACGCACGAGGCGGAAACGAAAGAACGCAACGAGACGCTTCAGATGAGTACTTTAAAGTTAAATTTTGAGGTCACAGGTCGGGTCAAGGTCAGGTCAAACACCTGAAATCGGGCTTTCAGTAGCATGGACTTCAGAACCTCGCAATGGGCATCTCTCGTCATAAACTCTGTCAGAACGGTGCACAAGCCATCATACGAGTATAAGGCCTACAAGAGTGTCAGATTCATGTAGAGGTCAGTCAAGCGTAGGTCAGGCCAGGGTCAAGGTCAGGTCAACCAGGTAGGCTAATATCCTCGAAAATCAAAACTGATATTCGCAGCCTGTGACACATGTTTTATGGGTAATTTTGGACGTAGAACACGATGGTGGCATTCATTTTATCATATGTGTATGTGTTTGGTTCAAAAAGTTCAATTTAAGAAATGCATGTATCATGGTCGTGAAGAAGTCACGAGAATTTGCCAAGATTCAGTTCAAGATTTTGGAAAATGCGGAGCTATAATAAAAATTGAAGATAGCTATTTGATTGTTCATGGTATTGGCAGTCTAATGGCGTTTACGGCATGTCTGTATCTTTATTCTGTGATTTTATATGATTTTTTCGAACATATGCCGTTTTTGGTCGAAAATTCAGAAATCATGACGTCACTAAAACCGTGATATCTCAAAAACTTTCTGACCTATTTTTTTTAAACTCTGTCACAATAAACTTCAATCTATTCCCTACAGGTACCTAAATTTTGGCGCGCCTGCGGCGCGCCGTTTTAATGCTATAGCGCGGCGAAAAAAGTGGGGGCCTTTAACGCTCCCCCCAGCAACTCGCGGGATATAGTGCCTCTCAGGAGTCTGATGGGATCCGGCCCAAAAAGCCCGACGCTTCCAGGCGGCCCAGCTCCAGAACATGGGGTACACGACACGGAAAGTGACCAAGAAAAAGAGAATTGCTGAACAGTTGGCTCTGGAAAAGAACGAGATCTTAACCATCGCCGGACATATTGGGTTTCTTCTATGCGCCGGCCGAGAGGGGGGGGGGGGGGGGGTACGACCCCTTCCCTCTGCTGGAGCTAGCGCGTCGCAGAAAAAACGAGCGTGTGCGCCGTTACGAGACACAGTTATTGACACCCGATTTTAAGGTCTTAGGTCAACCGTTGACCTCTTAGGTCAGGTCAAGTGCCATAAGGCATGGGTTCAGTTTTTGACGAATAACTTGGCCAAAAGCGGCCGCAGAGCCGCGATTTTGACATCATCGTGTTCGCTTTGTTGAGATGTGTCGAATGATATACTTTTTGTTGGGGTAAGGTCAACTTAAGGTGTTGACCTCAGGTCACGGTCAGGTCACGGCTTCCAGGTCACGAACTTTGTCGAATGAGGTCATGTCGCATATCTTTTGATTTGGCAGGTCTTCTGAAGTCCATTGCTGGCTCTCCCGACTTGCTAGTTCAATTGGATAAGGAGTTATTGACGAAAATCTAATATGGACCTAGTGAAGTCATAAATGACGTCACGCAAGGTCAACAATGCAAAAGTGACGCATCAAACTTGCAAGAAGTGCATGAAATCACGATTCGATGTGCTTGGGATTGGGATAGCCTGAGATCTTTCCTGACGCCAAAATAGCAGTTTTTATTTTTCCCCATTGACTTGAAATGGTGAGGTCACGTAACCGACCTTTCGTCATGTGACCTTTAGGAAAAATCTGAGATATACAAGTTGTGAGACCTCTAGAGGATACTAGGTCCTGTAAGTTTAATCTCCTTGTGAAAGCTCCTCTGGCACTGAGAGCGTTGCGAAGTTGCGACCTCTGTAGATCGTGCAGAGGTTCACTTCTGACGCCATAGGTTAATGACCTGACCTGACCCGAAAATGCGGCTGGTGTCAAAATATAACCTGCCGATTTTCAAAATTCGAATGGCATTCGATTCCTTCAACGTGATCTACAATTTGAAGAAAGAAAGTCCCAAAAACGCAAATAGGGGGCAGTACCTAGGGGATAAAAACTGCACATTTCAGATGCCTTTTCAACTCCTCACCACGGCCCTGTTTTTCAACCAATTTTGACGCAACTACTGCCGATTAAAGCAGGATGAATCAGAAATTGACATGCCTTACAAAAATAAGCATTTCGAAAAATCATAGGCGAATACAGGTTATGGAATTTGGAGGCACATGGAATACATAATCAATCGGATGTTTTGTTGGTGCTGTCACCAAAACGGGCTGGCAAATTAATAATCTTATTATAATACAAAAGCGTGTGATAAAATGACTGAAATTAGATTGAATATTCATAGGCGGCGTCAGGGCACCGAAGGTGGGAGGTGACATTGACCTCTCCTTTTTCCTGGAACCGCATATGATCCGTTTCTTGTTCACTTCTAAAGCTGTTATACCTACAAATAATGTTGATATGCCTACATAATGAATAATTACAGTTATAATGCATCAGCATCGTGATCTTTAACCAAATGACTCGCTTCACAAATTGGACCTCCCGATTCCCCATGCCCTGGAACCGCTCCTGATAAAGATATCAACTTAAAATGTCCAGGAAAAGTGCCCACTGCCCAGCTTAGTTTTAAGAAAGCTCAGAAAATTTCAGCATCATAGCTCCAGCCGTTTCGAAGACATTACCGAAAAGCATCAGGGATGGATGTAAACACCCCCCCCCCCCTGCCACTAATATGGTTAGCGGAACATCCGCTCTTTACCAATCGTGCGGCAATCGGCGATAGTTCTTGAACAGATCTTCACTCGTCGGCGGCCAGTCGTTACCTATCGCATGACGTACTCATGGCTGTCACCGAGTTTCGCACGTCATTCGTGCGATTCATGCCC